CTGATCAGACAAATCAAACAAGGAAAGGAAAGACAAGGTAGTAGCCTTTTTGTGGTCAAAAATATACCTCGTTCGAAGAGTTGCTGGAAAGAGGAAAGAACGGATACGTTTTAGGGCGCCGATATCACTGGATTGAAGCTGTTGTCTCAACAAAGGTAACTCGTTTGCTTTCTTATCAACAGGACCAGCTTCAACTGGAGAAGATGGCCATCGAGTCGGAGTAAGTAGCCCAGTTGTTATGTTCATCAGAGGTTCAGTTTTGGTTTTGTTGTATTTCGACTGGATCTTTCTGGTCACATTATATTGAAACTAACTTTCATTTTTTTGTCACAGGCTTGCAGTAGCTAAAGTGAATATGGAGACAGCCCAGGAAGATGCTGAATATATGGCAGAAGAACTTGAGAGGTGAATATATTTTCTTCTATTTTGTTCTTGCAGCGTTGGACCTCGTAGAGGGCTTCGAGTCCTTTTTTCCTAGGCTTCACCCAGGGTTTGTACTAAATCAGAAACAAAAAATAGGTAAAGAACTTTTCTTCGCTTCAAGAGGAGGCTACATTGGAAGGAATTTTTTGAGTGTGGAAGGGTCAAATGCAAGGTTCATTTGTGAAGGAGATCTAAAACTGAAATAAGAAACCAAATTTTTACTACAAGTACTGATTAAAGCCACTGTTTTTAAGTCTCCTTCTGGAGGCGGAACCATCATTTTTACGTTGTCATCCGAGCCACACCAAGCTCTAGCCGTTGGCAGAGTACATGTAAAGATGGTGTCTTCATTTTTCAGTTATTTTTAGGGCCCGTCCGCACATATATTTTTTAACACAGAGATGTTTTTCTCCATTTTAGCCTTCCGGCCACACGTAAACGGGGTTTTCGGGTATCAAAATCGTGACCGGATAGCTCCTTTGAAGAACGCCACACAGAGAAGCCCGCAACATTCCCTCTGCTTAACACAATAAATTATATAAAGAAATTATTGATCTGCAAAAATTGTATTGATCGTCAATTCTTTTCACAGGACGAGAATGGTGGAGAAACAAGGGTTTGAAGAGAAAGAAGAACTGAAATCTAAACTGGAATCCGCTATGGAGGAGAAATTCAAAATGGAGAAGGTAAGGTTTTTCTTTCCTCTCTGCGTACTTTTCTGTTTAACAGCATGGTTAAACTCGCTGTGTGGTTGATAATTGGCCTTATCATATACCTTGCATGAAAGGCGCGTTATGAGACAAGCGATGCGAACGGGGTATTTTGCGCTGGTCTCGCGCTTCGCGCAAAATGCCGCGTTCGCCTCGCTTGGCTCATAAAGCGCCTGTCATGCAGGCTACTTATTATATGGCTGAATCCGCGACTGGGCAAGAAATAAAGCGAACCCTGTATTCTGATTGGCTAACCGAGCGGGCAAGATGGGCCCCGCTCGGGATTTCCCGCGTTGGTCCTGTAAGAAAAAGTTTTCTTTCTGGCCATATAATAAATTCTTTATTGACCAAGCACTGATTTAAAACAAAATTAACTAGACAGCCTTGACACAGCCCCTTTCACTGGAGGCTACAATTCATTCATTTTCCATCAAATTAAAATATACCGTAAAATCCAGAAAATAACCTCTCCATGCATAAGCCCCCCAAACTCGTAACGCAAAAAACCGACAATTCGCGCCTCCAAGTCCACCCCGGGGGCCTGTACTCGGAAATTGTCCTCAAATCCAAAATGAAACAAAGCAAAAACTGTACAGTAACACATAAATTTTTGCATTTGCAAAAAGAACTATTACGTGTGTTAAATGATTACAGTCAAAAAGTGTCACAGTATATTGCTGTTTGCTTAGTTCACTCTCCAGTCTTGGCTTGAATTTCCTCGGTCCATACAGACAAAGTACTTGCATGGCTGAGTTTTAGAAATATGTACGTCCTCAAGGCGAGTTTCAAGAAAAACTTCCTACAAATTACTGACATAAATTTTCTTCCAACTATAAGCTAGTCCACTGGATTTTGAGACGCATATTTCCCTCGCAATATAAGCTTAGTCGATTTTGAAGCGCACATTTCCCTCCGTATATAAGCCTATCAAAAAAGAGAAGGAGATGCTTCGATTCTATTGACGGGCCCTTTCATACGTTACAAAGAATACAGTTACGAAGGGTTTTTTGCAATTTCTGACCTGTCTCGATTTGTTTTCATTCGCAGGTCATACAGAAAATTGAAGAGGAAAACGCGAGGCTAAAAGGACACCAAAACCCACAGCAGAAAGTACAGCATTTATTAGCGATTAAGAGAGAAAACCATACCCTAAGGGAAGTAAGTAATGTTCTTTAGACAAGTTTTCTTTTCTTCGGTTTGCTGTGAAGCCCTTTAGGGTGGGAAGACACTAAAGGTCTAGATACAGGGGCCTTTTTCCAGGTTATTTCCCGGGGAGGAGTGGCTTGTAACGCAAATTTTGGGGCAGTTCTGTCCCAGCGACAAGTCGCACAAAGTTTGCAACTTGCTGAACTTTCAAGGGGCATCATTCCCTTTTTTTTTTTTTTCTTTTTTTCTTTTTTGTTATTTTTTTTTTTTTTTTTTTTGAGAATTTTTAATTTATTTTTAAGTTTTTTGGCTTCGGTTCGCTGTTCATCGTTTCAATTTTGGGGCTCGGATGGCGCTTAAGGTTCCCGGATTTGGGGGGTGTGGCAATTGGTGTTGTGATGTGACTGGAGTTCTGCTGTTTTTTTTTCAGGTCTTGGCGCGGGTATTGGCGGGGGGGGGGGGGCTGGTAAGGCGATTTGTGGGTCTGTTCTGTCCCATCGTCTAGTCGCCCAGGGGGTGGGACTTGCTGAACCTTCAAGGGGCATCTTTCCCTTTTTTTTTTTTTTCTTCTTCTCTTATTTGCTATTTTATTCTTTTTTCTGTATGAGAAATTTTAATATCATATTAAGTGTTTTGGCCTCGGTTCGCTGATCATCGTTTCAAATTTGGCGCTCGGAGTGCGCTTAAAGTTCCCGGATATGTGGCGTGATTCTGGGCGATGATAAAACTGTAACAGGCGGTGAAGACAATAGGGAAACAGTTTTTTTTTTTTGCGAAATCCAAGAGAAAAACGTTTCATCAAGCCTCTCTTTTCTTTGTTTTACATCAGCAGGTAAACAAGTTGATCAAGGAAAACCTGAAGTGTAGCTGCAAGGGAAAGAAAGCGCCGCTGGCTAGCAAGAACGGAGGCGCTGAGAATAGTAAGACTGAAGGCGGGCCCAGAGGTAGCTCGTCCAGCGAGGAAGGAAGCTCTCCCACAAAGGCAACAGACACGGAGAAAGAAAATGTTTTTACTACTTCTTCATAATAACCTGGACTTCTACCCTCGAAGCCGCGACAAATTGCGAAGATATATTTTAAAGGACGATGTGATTATCGTAGGAGCAAGCTCTTGTGGGCAGCGAAGGAACGGAGCTACTCGGTCGAGCTATGTCGATTTTTGATTAAGGGCAGACAAACATTGCGCTCTTAATGGCCTTTTTATATTATGGACAAACGAAGCGTTGATTACTGCAGCTGTCCATGGTCCGTTTTGATATTGATCAGAAGCGTTTGACTGTATTCTTGAATGATATCTTTTTTTTTATGTTTGCATCACCGGCATATTTTCGATGTTATACTACTACATGAGAAATTTCTGCAATTTGATTGGCTTAGAGCAGTGGTATTTCAGCTTAATTTGAAATACCTTCATGTGAAAATTACAAACCTCTTGCGGGTAGTAGTATAAACAAATAACAGCATGATTTGTACGTGATATTTGGCATAAATAACACTCGTGATATTTCAAAATTGTCTCAAATTTGACTCGCCTAACGGCTCGTGAAATTACGTATAACAATTTTGTATTTATGCCAAATATCACTACGAATCATGCTATTACCTATACAAAGACAACTTTCTTCTAGTAAAGATAGTTTCCACTTCTACCTGGCAGATGTAATTCGCGTGACTGAAATTAAGTATGCTGAACATAGTATTCTATGAATACAATGCACTCAGTATTCTTAAAATTTCAAAAACACATGTGACAGTCCGAGGTCGCGAAATCAGGAGCTCCAGTTTTTAGTAATTTCCCTTAGAGCTGTCGTTTTAGAAAAGTACACATGAATGGCCCAAGAACGAGCCAGCAAGTGTCGATCTTCCATCGCTGCATAGGTATTGAACCGTAAAAGGAACTTTTTTTAAGTGTGTCCTTATTTTATTGCATGAGTTTTCGTAACCAGTATATTGCTTGAAATTACACTGCAAGTGGATACTTAGGGTAAAATAACGCAAATATATATCATTTTTAAAAAACAATCCGTTCCTATTTTCATTTAAATGGGGAAGGAAATGTGGCGTGGCTCCTTAAGAAAAATACTTCTTAGCCTTCCAACCTGCAGCCGCTAGTTTGTTTCATGTATGGCTTTTGTTGTATCAGCAATGTGATTTGTCCCTGGTGCCTTAAGTTTATAAAGTCGAACCTCCATGTGCGACCACCTCCCGATGATAACCTGTGTACAGAACCCCCTCTACTCAAGAAAAATCGGAGAAGGGGACCCTTCTCGTAGAAACTTGCGCTTCGTCACCAGTCACTCGCGTTTTGCGCTCGCCTCCTCGAAATACGAAGCGCCTGAGGAGGAGGGGGCAGCTACAGTTATTTATTTTAAATTTTGTAGACGCCTTAGCTGGTAGTTTACGTAGCTTTATGACTTTTACTTTTGTAGTCCTCTTTGCTGACTCGCACTCGGTGATTCGTATAAATTCCTGAACTGCAAAACTGTTTTAAAAACCTGCAAATTGATATTAACGATTATTTATTGACAAAACATTACCTAACAACAGTGACAACATGTGGGTAATTTCTAAGCCGAGGAGTCATGGAAAATGTTACACCCCCAAAATGAATGGATTGCCTTTTTAACTCCTTGATATTTCAACGTAGGTGACTTTTTGTTAGTCATACATCTTGCACCACAGACTTCCCGTAAATTCTTAGATACATGTACTATGTCCTGTTCAAGATCCTTCTATGCTTTTCTTTAATACCAAGTTTATTCCAGAAGAGGACTCACGCGATTGCGCGCGAGTTCTCCTCGAAAATATAGTCCGAATAGCCAACTTAAAGTCTGGCTTAAGAAAAGCGTATATGAGAGGGTTTACAAGTGAGCTGATCGCTATGGTGAAAAATGAAACGGTCACCAGAGCTTGAGGGATAATGTCAAGCCGATTAAATATAGAACTGGCAGTTGTGATGTAGATAATCGGTAACCAACAGAGGATAAAAGCTGCCGAAATTATGCAAAACACTTTGGCAACTTGGACATCTGATGAAGTGCTTCTCTTGTCGTTCTTGGTCCTTCGAGGTGGATCAATTCGAAAGTCATTCTTCATTGCTAGGCTGCCTCGAACTTGTCTGAATATTCTGACATAGGCAAAGGTAATGAAGATATATGGAACAACAATACCAAAGAACTGTAAACATATGATGTACGCCTTATGAATACCTCGCGTTGGATCGGTGTTCCATAACAGCGGAAGTAGAGAGTAGATTATTGGAAACAGCCACGAAAGTACCAAAGCTCTTTTGAACATCACTGGTGACCGATACGGGTATTCGAGAGGTTTCATGATGGCGATATAGCGATCGTATGTTACAGAGCATAAGTTAGCAACACCTGAGAGTAATATAATACAGGCTAAATAACCCGGGACAACTGACGAAGGCTCATTGAGGTAAACAGGTAGTAAAACTCCCCCTGTTAAAATATCGGATACAGCAAGGGACACTATCAACCAGTTAGGATACGTCCGAAGAGCTCTGTTGAAGCAAACCAAACAGCAAACGCAAACGTTGGATAACACGATTAATACTGCGAGGATACCCAGAGAAGAAGTAAAATAAACCTCCTGGCTTGATTTAGCCATTGGAACTCTTGTGTTTCCTGTGGTTTTGGTGCTTTTCACGGCTTTCCTGGGGTAAATTGCATTGTAATCGTCAGATATGGCATATCTTTTGAAGACGAGGCCCTCCGCTTCCGCTGACGTAAGTTTCACGTACTCGCAATTGTTTGATAACAACTTACTTGTTGTCTCTTCAAGAGCACACGCTTTTACGGTATTTTTCGACAATTGTACATGGTGGTCATTCAAATAATGACCTTCTTGTAACCTTTCGTATTATTTCCTGTTTTCTTTTTTAACTTATCCCTTGCAAACGCTATATGATTTCATTTAAATGGATGCTACTAATGGATCTTTTTGTTTTTGAAGATAATAAAAGGAGTTTCAAGTAATATATAAACACAACAAGAAGTGTCTCGTCAATTTCCCAAGCAAAGCGAAGAGCGTTAAAAGATAAGTTCTTTAAATCGTTTTCTAGATATTTAGATACCTGAATAAATATTGTTGTCCTTCTTCGACGCTACAATTTATGTCTTGATATTTGTACAGTGTTCCCTCTTGGCTTTTTTTAATTGAATATTTACATATCAGACCAGATCAGATAGATGACCCTTGAAGAAACAAAGGAAGAATTTTGTGTTTTGATTGGGGGAGTAGTAGGGTTGTTCACTTAATATACGAAGTATGGTAAGGGGTATTAGTTGTAAGATGGGAGAAGGGGGAGTGTACAATGTGCCGCAGGGTGAGGAGGGCGTTATTGTACAGTATACTAACCTGCATGGGCACCCAAGAACCCCTTTCCCTCAGATCCTCCCCTGAAAAAATTAGAAGCCAAATATCTTGTACAACCGATCCATTTACGGCAAAATCCTGGTTGTTACCCCGATGCTGAGCTAATACAATTTCGCAAGGGTATTGTTGTATGTCGACAATTATGTGTGATGTTGTGGTTCGATTTTAACATTTTTATCATTCTTCACTCTTCTTTCCTGAAGCATATCTCTCCACATGTTCACATTTTAAAATTCCATAATCTTTTTTACACTTCAAAGTTTTCATCGACATCAATTCACAGTAAAAATTCGATGCTCTACATTCGATTGGGCCCACAACTACACAGCTCTTAGGTTGAATTAAAAGTTTTCATTGACATCAATTCGCCATAAAAATTCGATGCTCTACATTCGATGGGGCCCACAGCTACACAGCTCTTAGGTTGAACAGGGTTCAGTGCTTAGATCCCAAAGTATTCGTGGCGTTTTTGAGCGCAATAAAAAAAACGTCTCGAAACAGTCTGATTAGAACACATACTTTATTTTATTCAAATAAATTCAAAAGTGCAGCCTTCAACTGTAGTCGGAACATAACCAAACAAGATTTATAAAAACATACACAAAAATAAGCATATATCTAAGGATTAAAATTCCTGTTTACAAATCATGGGCCTGCGACCTGGGGCTTTATAGAGCGTTTTCATTCACTTTGCCAGAATCTGTGCAGATCAACTGGAACAAAAAGAGAAGCGTTTGCATAAGGGAAGAGTTCAACTCCGACAGGATTGGTTTGGAACACCAACATGGCCGCCGTTGCATCCTTTTGAGACACCAATAGGGCCGCCGTGACGTCATGTGAAAGAGATGTACTTGAAGAAATAACGAAAGTCAGGAACCGATTACTCATAAAGCAATCGACCCAAGCGTTCTTATTGCTGGCCGTTAAAATTACCCTAGCTCTTATTTGGCTCCGTTTTTGTAATGGTATTTTTAAGGGTCAAATTAAGCTTCAGTCAAGCCCAGATCCAAGGTCTCAATAAGGGGTTTAATTCTAATTTGTTGAAGATTGTCCTCACCATGTTTACACAGGAATCAGCTCCTTAACCACCCCTCCCCTCCGCTATCGGGGAAAGCCGAATGGCCTGAATAACCAAACCTCGTGGTTATAGCGAACAAATTTTTCCATTCCCTTGACACTTCGTTATATCGAGGTTCCACTGTATGGTAACAATTGCTCTCTTTCCGAATAATCTTCAGCTAGCGCGCTTCTTTCGTTTCCGTCTCTGGGACGCTGAGCGTTTCATTGATCCCTTAAAAGTAAAACTTTGCATATCACTTATTAACTGGCCAACAGGAGAGTCTGAAACCGGAGTTAAACCCAAGCAGCCAGTTTCGCTATCGATACCTCTACTTGTGTGCTGAGAAAAACGGGTGTTAAGCATGATCCAGCTGTCCTTGACCACTTCTTTTGTTGGTTCTCTGATTCCAGAATCAATCGTAAACACGTCATCAAAATCACTGTGGACATCATAGTTAGGGTATACCTCTCCATGCTGAGACGCGTGCGAGCAATCTTTGTCGGCCTTTAAAAACCTCTTTCGTCGTTTGCGCCGTGGAGCATCATGCAGATTTTGTATTTCACTGTGGTCAAACCAAGCTAGAAAGTCACTGTTGCTTGGCGTAGTGACTCCTTGTTGCCCACTAGCTTCCTGAAGTGTTGAGTGCTTTTCATCCGTTGACATTTTTCTTCTTGGTATTACTTTTAACCTCGTCGTTGTTGCCGAAATGCGCTGCTTTACTTTCACGACTGGTTATCAGTTTTGTCAAATGCAAAACTAATCTAACCCTAATTACTTCACGGATATCGTGTAACCCACCCCATTGGTAGGAGACGAGCTTATGGCTTCGTTACGTCTACCTCATTGGTTCATTGAAAATTGTATTTATTGCGAAACAATACAAATAATTAAGGGCATTTTGAAAATACCTTTTAAGGTATTACTTAATTATTTCTGTTCCGCAACACCGCTTTTCCGATACCTTAATTTATCATTTAATTAACTTTAAATCAATCAAGAAGAAAGATCATCATTGGTGGATAGAAAATTGCTCTTTCTTAGGTACAATTATGGATAATTGAATTCATTATAGAAATGTAAAGCAAATGGAATACACTTCCGCTTTTTTCAGTTCTAAATAAATTGCCCCTGCCTCAAGCTCGACTATGCTAAAACTTGGAGCGGGCTACAAGCGTTGTAGTCTAATAATGATAGTTTGAAAGAAATTGTCGTTGTTGTGGTTGTAATTTTCCAAGGGTACTTTCCGGTAATTAAACACCAATCGTCAACTGTATATTAGGTAAGCTGTGAGACCCCTTTGGCGGATTGGACAACACGTGGCTTTCTTTTTTGCGTAATTAATGCTTAAACTTCATCTTCAAACTTTTTCTTTACATTGTTTACAGGGCATTACTTAGTACTAGCAAGTATTTTAACTTGACTTGCCAGACTACCTACCTAAGCTTTCCTTAAAAAATGGTTATTCCGTGTTTAACTGGCGACGTTAGTCCTTTCGTTGACAACCGTTAATGACTTTAAACATTATGTCAGGTAAAGAGACCATCGATTCGTTATCGTTATACGCTCTTCTCACGTATGGTAATATGCCCGTCTAACCTCGTTTTTGAGTAAAAAATCCTTTGAAATGCTAATCAGACGACGTTTTCGTATTTGAATTTCAAAAGAATTTTTACCCGTAAACGAGGTTATAAGGCTCATTGAGGTAAACAGGTAGTAAAACTCCCCCTGTTAAAATATCGGATACAGCAAGGGACACTATCAACCAGTTAGGATACGTCCGAAGAGCTCTGTTGAAGCAAACCAAACAGCAAACGCAAACGTTGGATAACACGATTAATACTGCGAGGATACCCAGAGAAGAAGTAAAATAAACCTCCTGGCTTGATTTAGCCATTGGAACTCTTGTGTTTCCTGTGGTTTTGGTGCTTTTCACGGCTTTCCTGGGGTAAATTGCATTGTAATCGTCAGATATGGCATATCTTTTGAAGACGAGGCCCTCCGCTTCCGCTGACGTAAGTTTCACGTACTCGCAATTGTTTGATAACAACTTACTTGTTGTCTCTTCAAGAGCACACGCTTTTACGGTATTTTTCGACAATTGTACATGGTGGTCATTCAAATAATGACCTTCTTGTAACCTTTCGTATTATTTCCTGTTTTCTTTTTTAACTTATCCCTTGCAAACGCTATATGATTTCATTTAAATGGATGCTACTAATGGATCTTTTTGTTTTTGAAGATAATAAAAGGAGTTTCAAGTAATATATAAACACAACAAGAAGTGTCTCGTCAATTTCCCAAGCAAAGCGAAGAGCGTTAAAAGATAAGTTCTTTAAATCGTTTTCTAGATATTTAGATACCTGAATAAATATTGTTGTCCTTCTTCGACGCTACAATTTATGTCTTGATATTTGTACAGTGTTCCCTCTTGGCTTTTTTTAATTGAATATTTACATATCAGACCAGATCAGATAGATGACCCTTGAAGAAACAAAGGAAGAATTTTGTGTTTTGATTGGGGGAGTAGTAGGGTTGTTCACTTAATATACGAAGTATGGTAAGGGGTATTAGTTGTAAGATGGGAGAAGGGGGAGTGTACAATGTGCCGCAGGGTGAGGAGGGCGTTATTGTACAGTATACTAACCTGCATGGGCACCCAAGAACCCCTTTCCCTCAGATCCTCCCCTGAAAAAATTAGAAGCCAAATATCTTGTACAACCGATCCATTTACGGCAAAATCCTGGTTGTTACCCCGATGCTGAGCTAATACAATTTCGCAAGGGTATTGTTGTATGTCGACAATTATGTGTGATGTTGTGGTTCGATTTTAACATTTTTATCATTCTTCACTCTTCTTTCCTGAAGCATATCTCTCCACATGTTCACATTTTAAAATTCCATAATCTTTTTTACACTTCAAAGTTTTCATCGACATCAATTCACAGTAAAAATTCGATGCTCTACATTCGATTGGGCCCACAACTACACAGCTCTTAGGTTGAATTAAAAGTTTTCATTGACATCAATTCGCCATAAAAATTCGATGCTCTACATTCGATGGGGCCCACAGCTACACAGCTCTTAGGTTGAACAGGGTTCAGTGCTTAGATCCCAAAGTATTCGTGGCGTTTTTGAGCGCAATAAAAAAAACGTCTCGAAACAGTCTGATTAGAACACATACTTTATTTTATTCAAATAAATTCAAAAGTGCAGCCTTCAACTGTAGTCGGAACATAACCAAACAAGATTTATAAAAACATACACAAAAATAAGCATATATCTAAGGATTAAAATTCCTGTTTACAAATCATGGGCCTGCGACCTGGGGCTTTATAGAGCGTTTTCATTCACTTTGCCAGAATCTGTGCAGATCAACTGGAACAAAAAGAGAAGCGTTTGCATAAGGGAAGAGTTCAACTCCGACAGGATTGGTTTGGAACACCAACATGGCCGCCGTTGCATCCTTTTGAGACACCAATAGGGCCGCCGTGACGTCATGTGAAAGAGATGTACTTGAAGAAATAACGAAAGTCAGGAACCGATTACTCATAAAGCAATCGACCCAAGCGTTCTTATTGCTGGCCGTTAAAATTACCCTAGCTCTTATTTGGCTCCGTTTTTGTAATGGTATTTTTAAGGGTCAAATTAAGCTTCAGTCAAGCCCAGATCCAAGGTCTCAATAAGGGGTTTAATTCTAATTTGTTGAAGATTGTCCTCACCATGTTTACACAGGAATCAGCTCCTTAACCACCCCTCCCCTCCGCTATCGGGGAAAGCCGAATGGCCTGAATAACCAAACCTCGTGGTTATAGCGAACAAATTTTTCCATTCCCTTGACACTTCGTTATATCGAGGTTCCACTGTATGGTAACAATTGCTCTCTTTCCGAATAATCTTCAGCTAGCGCGCTTCTTTCGTTTCCGTCTCTGGGACGCTGAGCGTTTCATTGATCCCTTAAAAGTAAAACTTTGCATATCACTTATTAACTGGCCAACAGGAGAGTCTGAAACCGGAGTTAAACCCAAGCAGCCAGTTTCGCTATCGATACCTCTACTTGTGTGCTGAGAAAAACGGGTGTTAAGCATGATCCAGCTGTCCTTGACCACTTCTTTTGTTGGTTCTCTGATTCCAGAATCAATCGTAAACACGTCATCAAAATCACTGTGGACATCATAGTTAGGGTATACCTCTCCATGCTGAGACGCGTGCGAGCAATCTTTGTCGGCCTTTAAAAACCTCTTTCGTCGTTTGCGCCGTGGAGCATCATGCAGATTTTGTATTTCACTGTGGTCAAACCAAGCTAGAAAGTCACTGTTGCTTGGCGTAGTGACTCCTTGTTGCCCACTAGCTTCCTGAAGTGTTGAGTGCTTTTCATCCGTTGACATTTTTCTTCTTGGTATTACTTTTAACCTCGTCGTTGTTGCCGAAATGCGCTGCTTTACTTTCACGACTGGTTATCAGTTTTGTCAAATGCAAAACTAATCTAACCCTAATTACTTCACGGATATCGTGTAACCCACCCCATTGGTAGGAGACGAGCTTATGGCTTCGTTACGTCTACCTCATTGGTTCATTGAAAATTGTATTTATTGCGAAACAATACAAATAATTAAGGGCATTTTGAAAATACCTTTTAAGGTATTACTTAATTATTTCTGTTCCGCAACACCGCTTTTCCGATACCTTAATTTATCATTTAATTAACTTTAAATCAATCAAGAAGAAAGATCATCATTGGTGGATAGAAAATTGCTCTTTCTTAGGTACAATTATGGATAATTGAATTCATTATAGAAATGTAAAGCAAATGGAATACACTTCCGCTTTTTTCAGTTCTAAATAAATTGCCCCTGCCTCAAGCTCGACTATGCTAAAACTTGGAGCGGGCTACAAGCGTTGTAGTCTAATAATGATAGTTTGAAAGAAATTGTCGTTGTTGTGGTTGTAATTTTCCAAGGGTACTTTCCGGTAATTAAACACCAATCGTCAACTGTATATTAGGTAAGCTGTGAGACCCCTTTGGCGGATTGGACAACACGTGGCTTTCTTTTTTGCGTAATTAATGCTTAAACTTCATCTTCAAACTTTTTCTTTACATTGTTTACAGGGCATTACTTAGTACTAGCAAGTATTTTAACTTGACTTGCCAGACTACCTACCTAAGCTTTCCTTAAAAAATGGTTATTCCGTGTTTAACTGGCGACGTTAGTCCTTTCGTTGACAACCGTTAATGACTTTAAACATTATGTCAGGTAAAGAGACCATCGATTCGTTATCGTTATACGCTCTTCTCACGTATGGTAATATGCCCGTCTAACCTCGTTTTTGAGTAAAAAATCCTTTGAAATGCTAATCAGACGACGTTTTCGTATTTGAATTTCAAAAGAATTTTTACCCGTAAACGAGGTTAGACGGGCATATTACCATATGTGAGAAGAGCGTATGGGAATGATTTTACGTTGTGGCCTGTCTTCTACATAAACAGCAGTTTCATTGTCCATGATTCGTTTACCTTTCATTTACTTAATGCAATGATTTCAGGTGATCCCTTAGTTACAATGTTTGTCATAGTCTTTCTTCTTCATATGGTCTTCAAAAATCGCAAAACTTTATCAAGTGTACTGACTTCCGTGTCGATAATGTCTCGTTTTTTAAACCACCTCGCGCTGTAGTCTGGATATCAGATAAAACTCTGTCCTTATGTTTGATCTATAGCCCGAAAAAAGGGATAATTCTTCGAGAAATTCATCACGACAGTATTTGTATTCATTTTCGAAACCTCCTTTACGGTAGTGTTGTCCTTTAGAATCACTATAAATCGCTTATCGAAGATATTTGCTATTTTTTCGTTCTTCAAGAGCTTGGAAGGCACAGAGAAGAAACTTGACTGAGTCGACCTTAAACATTATTGCTTTTCGTCCTCTTTCAACTTTCCATCGCCATAAACCGTGGGTCGGTTCTAATTACCAACGATTTTTTTGCTTACCGCTGCGATCGTGGTTAACACGTTCGCAGTGCAGTGGGCCAATCAAACGTTTGGTTATTAATTTGGGCGAGGCCAGGGACCAAAGATATACCGAAAAACAGAAAGGAAGAGAGATAAGGGTTTATAAAAGGTTTCACTTTTAACTTTACCGAAAATGAATAATAATGTCCCTCCAAACGAAGTCGCCTTTCACTGCAAAAAATCAGACACACAACCGACGAATAAGGTGTCTTGTCCTAAATGATTCCCTTTGAAATGGTCGATAGAATATAAATGTGTTTGTTAGACTTGTATTGAAAACAATTAACATCCATGGCTCATTTTGTTGGGAATTTCTTCATGCGGCGGGCGGTTTAGCAAAAAGGACATACCATTGGACACGCCCTTCATTCCGGGTAATGTGATTGGTTGTTTTAGCATTTGAAGTTTACCTATTCCGGATATGTATTAAGGTACTGCTTTTCAATTTGAGTTCGTTTCAAAACGAATATTCCAAAGGCACTTAAGATAAAAAATGCCTTGTAGAAGCACTGTTAGAGATAAATTGATTCTTAAAATACATGGTACAGTTTTTGAAGAGTTTGTCCATGCAGCGAACTGGACAATTCACTGAGTGAAAGTCTTCACTCTTTACTCCTTGTGATGAGATGGCGTCTGAGATTCGCCGATCTATTACTGTACTGCTTTTCAGTTTGAGTTCTTCATAACTAGAATATTGCAATGACACTACGCAGAAAGATTAAACAGTAAACGTTATGGTGAATTTTCTTTATGCGGCGCTGCAGGAAAATGATCACTTGAATTTATCTTCTTCATAATTGGTTAGATTCTTTGGGCGTGGCTCGACCGCTTTCTTTGAAACTGTATGGCGGTACTGCTTTACACTTTGCGTTCTTTAAAAGTAGAAAATTACAAAGAAGGATCTTTTGAAATCATTGTTAAACTCAATTCTTAAATCAGTAATACTTAAAATATATATTACATCTTATGGTGAATTTCTTCATGCTGCGCTGCTTGAAGTAAACCGCTTGAAACTGTCTTCTTCATCATTGGTTAGCGTTTTTAGGCGTGGCTTTATCGTGTTCTTTGAAACTAGGTAACACCCACAATTTTAAGGCCTCTTCAGAAAAGCTGACAGAGACACGCCTTGTGATTGGCTATGATAGCCTTTGAAGTTTACCTGCGCCAGATATGTATAAAGAAACTGCTTTCCAGTGTAATTTCGTTAAAGCTAGAATATCGCAATGGCACACCAGAGGGACGAAAATGTCACAGACCTATTAGAAAACGGCGAATGGATTCTGTTGGAGGAAAAGATTTACCTGTTACCAGGAGTCTTACCAAGGGATGAGAAAGAATATGATATGCCAGTCATAGGAGTAAACTCAAATGAGAAGAAGAGGCAGTCAAGCATAGATCACACATCCTCGTTTATTGAAGACACCCTTAAAAAGGATTCACGAACAGCAAAAGTAATAGGCACCAGCAGGACGAAGGCCAACGCTCCGCCAGAGCTGATTTCAGTCGACGAAGTGACCATGCTTACCAATCCTCACAGTAAAAAGCTTGTGTTTTCCAAGTCTTCAACTCCTTTGCCACAGCGGTTTATGCACAGTGGGGATCCTTCCCAAAGAAAACCGCTGCTGACTCGAACTCGTGGACAAATTTTACCTGGTAGTAAATGGCCTTCAAAAAAAGGTACTCTTTCTGGGGACTGTGGAAAAAAAGAAGATACCAAGAAGCAAGAAAAGGACGAAGGGTGTTTTCAGCTATCGCCACAGATGTACCGTCCAGTTCACACAACCAGGAAGTCAAGTAGGAGTATTGCCACTGGCCGGATACCATCTAGCAGTTTTTCTCATCTACCACCAAGTAGTTCCTTTTCAGGTCATACAGTCGGGAATTCAACTGGGAACTTCGCCGATTACGGGAGACGGAAGGTGGTGAATAGCCAATCCATTCCCGTTTCGCAGCAACCTAAGTTCCGCCGTGAATCGCCAACATCCCGGAAACCAAATTCGGCCCCAGCGCAGATTTTGCCTGCTTTTCAATGGCCACCGATTGAAGGAGAAACCGACTGCGTGGAGAATGACTTAGGAGCTTTGAGACTAGAAGAGAACGCTCCGTGTGGCGGAAAGGCTAAAAAAGAATATGAAAACCGCATCAATTCACTTGGTACCTTGTCCGCTCTCCAGGGAAGACACTTGAACTGGTATAAGTATTCTCGTTCAACCTCACTAACAGTACAGCCGCCATCAAAGTTTTCCCCACCCGTTGCAGCTTCGTCACAAAGTAAAACGATTTCATCTTCTGTGCAGATACTGCCTGTTTTCCAGCAGCCTGGTACCAAAAAGACAACTAATCATGATGACAATGATGTCGGCCCAGATTTTGTGCAGAAGGTCGACGTTAAGGAAAGAAACAACGCGAGGGACGGTCCCCGTTACTCCTGCATATCTTCCACTGATCTTGCAGCGCAGTCGAGGCCGTTTTCTCCCATTCGTCCAAACTGCAGTGAATTGTATAAAAGGGAAGAGGATGAAGAGAAAACGGAAAAACCTCTGCCTGAAGTTCGCGTAGAAGGCTGTCTTCTTTGGAAACGCAGAATAAAAAATGATGAACGACAGCCAGTCTTCTGCAACGCTCAAAATGTGAAAGACTTCATAGATGCTGAACGAAAACTGAGGGACCTAAATTGTGAGGACATCAGCGATCAGGAGGAGGCATGATTCCGATCTTATCAAACAGCATGTTTAATGCTAAGGTGTCGTAACGTATAAAATTGCCCTTTTTATACCTTTTAATGGCCTTATAATGTTTCCAAAGGAAATTTAGCCGATGAGTGTTAATTTTTTTAAGCCAATAGGAGCCTACATTATTTTTTAAATTTTGTCTCAGAAATTAATCATTGAATGACGAAATCTTTTGTCCACCACGACACTAACCAAATTCCTTCAAGAAAGGGAGGGAGTACCTCGAGAATATTCGGGTGTGACATGCATTCTGTTTGCTTTAAGTCCAAAAAATGCGGTTTCTCCTCTAACTTTTGAGTGATTCCCCCGCCGGCCAAATTCGAAGGTTTTAACCAGTAAGACGCAACCTTATGCTTACTAACTTTGGCCGGAACCTAATTTTAATCGCTAATTTCAGACGCCTTATAGCGTATTTCTCGCGTATAAGTGATTTCGCGTTTTGGGTCGAGCATGATAGCCAAAGGGCATTATTAAAATTTAGCAATTTCCTCTTAGTTTCTTAAGCACGTAAAGACCAGAGCTTTACGAAAGAGTTGAATAAGGAGAACTGTCTGTCACATAAGGATCGACGATTGTATAAAAAATGTTTCAAAAGGTTTAGACTTAAGTGGGATAATGCAGTTTATTTTCTTTCAAAATATTTTGC